TGCCTTTTCCTGTCCAGCACCGTAGCAGTTTCCAGCTGCTCTTCCTCCCCAGTCTCAGCGTTTCTAACCCCTTTTATCCCTCCACCGCTCCTCTCCCATCTCTCTAGTGGTTCCTCTTCTTGCCGCTGCCTTTCCCTGGGCATCCCTCTGGCCTGGGCAAAAGGGCCTTTTCCAGGCTCCACCACTGCTCAGGCCTCAGCTGCAGTTGGGGATCAGTCAGGTGTCAAGACACCTCTCCCCCTTCTCGCGGCTGTGTTGAGTGCTTGTGCCGGTCCGGATAAGGTCTCCGGCCTCTCCTCCACCTTCCCCAGCATGTTCCCCAGACACGAGGTCTGGCACAACCCGGCACTCCCTCCGCCGCCCACACGCCTGGCTCTCTCCTCCCCAGGTCTTCCAGCCGCCAGCCCTATTCCCAGCATCCAGGCTGGTGATGTAGGGCGCCATAGGGCGCCATGGTGGCTTGGACTCGGGCATGTCGGGTCGGGGTTTGCCAGGGTCCAGATCACGTCATTCTGATGTCGACTCGCCACTGCAGGTGTCCCCCTCGGGCCAGCCTATGCCGGTGGGGTCTGGTCCGGACCCAGCCATTTCTTCTTTGTCACTCTGCAGTGTACCAACCCTTCCAGACCTATAGGTGACCTGCCTGTCTAGGATGCCCCCCTCTTATTCAGTGGGAAAGTAAAAACTTCCTTCTGTGCTTCTGGTTCTGAGATCCTCCTATAACAGCAGCAGCAGAAATGGATGGAGGGAAAGAGCACCGTAACATTGGAATGGGGCAACAGCTGAGACTGTACAATAACAGAGAGGGTGATATGAGATCTAGCAAGAAAATCAAGGGGGAAACAAATCAAAAATAAATCTCTGCTTTTCTAACAAAAAATTCTCTGGCTATCTTACATTAATTTTTAAAAAGTGGCCCTTGGAGTGAATTGAACTGTGTAGCAATTGTGTTACTAATCTTGATGAGAAAAACTGCACCTAGCTTTACCCGCAATAACAACACCCCCCACTCAGTGCTTTATTGTTGCAGGAACTAAATGAATCTGTTTTTGTGTGAGACTGTGTGAGACACTAGAGAACATTGTTCCATAGTTTCCTGGCTCCCTTTGGGCCTCTTAGCCTAATTTGTCTCATGAGCTTGGTGCAAGAACAAAATGGAAGAACCATATGTTCCACATCAAACTCCTTGGACGAGAAATACAATGTTTCTGATGCTTTTAAGCTGTGGAAGAGGTATTCTTTATCTGGAAGCCATGCTGACTAAGAAATAAGGTTATGGTCCCACCTTCTCTATCATCTATAGATCTATTTCTCAAGTGTGAGCAATCTACTCACCTAAATCCATGTATCCAGTCCACACTGAGTTTTTTCTCCGAACTTGTGGGGACCCCCCCCCCCCAGGTTTGCAGAAAAACCTTAAAACTTTGAAAAAATACATAGGGGTGTTTAAATCCCCCCCCCAATGCGCTTACCTTTTTTGGCATAGTCTTAGCAATAATAGGGGGAGGGGCGGCAGTGGGCCTGGGAGCAGCAGTGGGCCTGTTGGTGGCAGCGGCAAAGACGGGGGGAGCTCAGGAGCTGGAGTGGTGCTTGAGGCCAGGAGCCACGCTGGGCTCACCAGCATCCACATCAGGGTGTGGGAGGAGGAGAGCCACACCAGACACATTGTGAGGCTGGAAGGGTTCGAGAAGCCTCAGCAGGCTTGGCCAGCATTGATAGGAGGTGGAATGAAGTCTCAGCCAGATACAATGTCACAGAGTCCACTTTCCAAAGCAGCCATTTTTCTCCAGGAGGACACAGCTCTGTTTGGAGATCAGTTATAATTCTGGGAGCTCTCCAGGTCCCACCTGGAGGCTGGCAACCTTAGGCCTCGCAACACCCATCCTACTTGAATGACTAATCTTGGCCTGGCTGCTTGCTACAGTTCAATGGCAGCCATCTTATGAAAGTTAGTGTGATTACACAGTCGCTTCTGTTTTATCATTGGTTCACATCATACATCCTACCCCTGATTCCACCTGACCTTTTCTCCTCTAAGTTAAATAAAACATTTTATTTTGAACTTTCAAAAGCCTCTCATGTGCTATTTCAGAAGCTGAGTATGTGATTTTGTTTCTTCCCTCAGTTTCCTGGGCCAGCATCTTTTTATATTAAAGTGACTGGGTGGGACAGCTACAGACAAATAAGAAAATAGATATAGGGGCTGCTCAGCAAGAAAGAAGAAAAAAGGGAAAATCCTGTGCATGAGGGAGGGAAGAGGGGAAATCACCAGAGACATATATTAATCATAAAATAAGTCATGTACTTTAAGTTAGCTACTAGCTCACAACTTTACACAGTGCCCTCAATGAGAGAAGATCCAATTTATGCAGTTGTCACTCCTAAACCACTATATAGCTATCACCAGTTCTGTCCCTCACTTCCCAGTTAATGGTAACTGGTTTACTATGATGTAAGAGCTGGCCCTATGAGGTGAGGAGGGGAAACAGCCACACCACTTTTCCTTTGGACCAAGACTCTTGGTGCTACTATAGTCACTGTGTTACCTCATTCCAGCTTTTGCTCTGGTAACAGAAGACCTTAGCCAACAAAATTGCATAAAAGTAACTCACATTAGCCTGAGCTTTGGCAGACGTAGCTGAGAAGGCAGGCAGCACTAAGGGGCAAACCTTGCTGCAGCTTGCCTGTTTCCTTTCAGGAGTAATAAGATTGAGGTGACGAGAGAGGAGGTCCTAAAACTGATAAGACAACTTAAAAACTGATAAATCACCAGGCCCAGATGGCATACATCCGAGAGTTCTGAAAGAACTCAATTGTGAACTTGTGGATCTCCTGACAAAAATATGTAATCTCTCCTTAAAATCAGCCTCCATTCCTGAGGACTGGAAGGTAGCTAATGTCACTCCCATCTTTAAAAAGGGTTCCAGAGGAGATCCGGGAAATTACAGGCCAGTCAGTCTGACGTCGATACCGGGTAAATTGGTGGAAACCATTATTAAGGAAAGAATTAGTAGGCACATAGATGAACAAAACCTATTGAGGCAGACTCAACATGGGTTCTGTAAGGGAAGATCTTGTCTCACTAACCTATTAGTGTTCTTTGAGGGGGTGAACAAACATGTGGACAAGGGGGATCCAATAGATATTGTTTACCTTGACTTCCAGAAAGCTTTTGATAAAGTTCCTCATCAAAGGCTCCTAAGTAAGCTCAAAAATCATGGGATAAAAGGACAAGTCCTTTTATGGATCAAAAACTGGCTAATTAATAGAAAACAGAGAGTGAGTATAAATGGGCAGTTCTCCCAGTGGAGGGGGGTAAGCAGTGGGGTACCACAGGGATCAGTACTTGGTCCACTGCTTTTTAACTTGTTCATTAATGATTTGGAGTTGGGAGTAAGCAGTGAAGTGGCTAAATTTGCGGATGATACGAAGTTGTTCAGGGTGGTGAAAACCAGTGAGGATTGTGAGGCACTCCAAAGGGATCTGTCAAAGTTGGGCGAGTGGGCGTCAACATGGCAAATGGGGTTCAATGTGGCCAAGTGCAAGGTGATGCACATTGGAGCCAAAAATCCTAACTATAAATACACGTTGATGGGGTCTGAACTGGCAGAGACAGATCAAGAGAGAGATCTTGGAGTTGTAGTAGATAACTCACTGAAAATGTCGAGACAGTGTGTGACTGCAATAAAGAAGGCCAATGCTATGCTGGGGATTATTAGGAAGGGTATTGTAAACAGATCAGCCAATATCATAATGCCGCTATATAAATCAATGGTGCAACATCATCTGGAATACTGTGTGCAATTCTGGTCACCACACCTTAAAAAGGATATTATAGCTTTGGAAAAAGTGCAGAAAAGAGCAACTCGAATGATAAAAGGGTTGGAACACTTTCCCTATGAGGAAAGGTTAAGGCGCTTAGGACTCTTTAGCTTGGAGAAACGACGACTGAGGGGTGACATGATTGAGGTTTATAAGATTATGCATGGGAAAGAGCAGGTAGAGAAAGAGGTACTTTTCTCCCTTTCTCACAATACAAGAACCCGTGGGCACTCCATGAAATTGCTGAGCGGTCGGGTTAGAACGGATAAAAGGAAGTACTTCTTCACCCAAAGAGTGATTAACACTTGGAATTCACTGCCACAGGAAGTGGTGGCAGCTACAAGCATGGACGTCTTCAAAAGGGAATTAGATAAGCATATGGAGCAGAGGTCCATCAGTGGCTATTAGCCACAAGGTATAGATAGGGACTCTGGGGCAAGTGATGCTCTGTCATCTTGGTGCTTGGGGGGGGGTCAACAGTGGGAGGGCTTCTAATGTCCTGGCCCCACTGGTGGACCTCCTGATGGCACTGGTATTTCTGGCCACTGTGGGATACAGAGTGTTGGACTGGATGGGCCTTTGGCCTGATCCAACATTGGCATCTCTTATGTTCTTATGTTCTTAAGAAGTTGATGGAAAGCCACAGAAAAATCCTTCACACTGAACTGAAAAGGTCAACATGTCTCTCTTTCACGAACTCTTTTAAACATTAGCTGAATTTTACAGCTCAAAATGGCTGAATGATGAAATACATATAGGCATATTTTTCTATATCACTTCATGGTAAAACAGTCATTTAGGTGTGGTAGTTGTAATGGGACACAGGAGGAAAGAACACACAGAGGAAGTTAATGAAAAGGTGACTGAAGTGAAAAATACAGATGAAGTACCTACAGCCCTCACTTGGCAGCCATCCCACTAGTTTCTAAGAGCAATTAGAGAATACTAATCATATCACAAGTACACTGGCTAGTAAACCTGTTTTTAAAATGGCACTATGAAGGAATCTAGCTTGCCACACGATTATGATTTATAGTCCAATCATTAGAACAAAGTTTGTGTCCAGTGGCACCTTTTAAGACCAACAAAGTTTTATTCAAGGTATAAGCTTGCACATGCATATCTGATGAAGTGTGCATGAACACAAAAGCTTATATCCAGAATTAAACTTCGTTGGACTTAAAGGTGCCTGACTGGACTCCAAATGTGTTCTGTGGCTTCAGACCAACATGGCCACCTACCTGAATCTAGTCCAATCATTACTTATCTCTACATTCTCAGGCTTTATGAGCTTCATATAAAATTTCCAAGTGTTTGGACACTGACTATTCTCTTAAGGGGGAGAACCCCAGCCACCCTTGAAATCTAGCATAAGCGCCACACCAGACTTTTTACACTCCAACTTGTCACCTGAATTGCTGCACTTGGCTATAGTCAATGAAGGGCATTTGCATAAGCAGCTAGAGCTTACCAAATGTTCCATGCTAAAAGTGGTTCCACAGGATCACCCTGATTTAATCTCTCTCCCCTAAACTGATCATCTTAAAATTTGCACCCGTAGTTATGCCAAGGAAAATTATTCTATGAAGTCCTTTGGTAAGCAACTCATACATAAGCAGGGCAACACAGAGCACAACAGGACAAGTCTAGTGGACCTCCACTTGGTTTCTGAAGGCAAGAGCAGCTCTTCTATCTATCCAGCAAGCTTAATCCCTGGGAGATGAAATCCACCATTGTCTTTATCAATGTGCTGCCTTCTCCTGCCATACTCCATTCAGAGAGAGCCGCTTAGAGCAATCAGGTTATTATCCTATCCAGGAGTAAGATAGAAGCCATGCCCCATTAATAAGAATGCATCCGTGGAATTATTTACTTATCTGCAGAAGATTATGAAGCCACTTACAAAACCCCCGATAAATGAGGAAGCAGCCCTCAGGATTCCTTCAAATCATTACCATCTCTTCCAACAGAGATTTAATTAAAGTCTGACACAGAGGCATCCCAACTTAGTCAGGAACATTTTGTACCACATGACCCCCAAACCCTGAAACAATGGGCAAGGCTCTCTGACAAAAGACACCAGTCTACATCATGTCCCAAGCAGTCTGTGTGTTCCCTAGACAGAGACCAGTGGAGTCCTAGAAGTTCCACCCAGTAGTTGTCCTTTACATGTTGTTCCACAAGGTGAAGGGAAAGTATATGAATCAGCAGTTGCTCCACCATCATTACTTGTCCTTTTCTCAGCAAGCTTGCGGTACCTTCCTGGAGCACTCTCCCCATCCTACTTTCTGGCAGGACTTCACCGGAGACTGCTGCTGCTGCTGGCTTGAGAGCTGCCCACACCTGGGTGCTCAGGGCTATGCCGGTTCTGAGGGAAATGAAAGACACGTAAGAATAACAGGGAAACCTTATTGGTTTAGTTGTTTATTTCTTGTTGGGACTCAAGGTAGATAACCGAAAACAATACAGGAAGCTGATGGAAGCAGCATGAGCCACAAAGGAGTTCCAGGCCAGAAAAAGAGGCCTCTGCTCTCATACCCTTCCTCTCTGAGCAGGGTCTCCAACTTCCCAACGCTGAAAGGAGGATAGTTGTAAAAGGCTTACCCCACAACTCACCTTTTTTTTCTTTTTCTCCTTCTTTTTTCTTTTTCGCTCAGGATCATCCTCTTTTTTCTTCTTCTTTTTCTTGTGATCAGAATCTGAAGGTGTTTCTGCCAAGAAAGATTCAGTAATTGAAGGCGGCATAATTCAGACAAGGGTGGGGAATACTGGCAGCTTAGGCTCCATCTGGTGCTGTGGCTCCATCCTACTTTCTGGCAGGACTTTACCGGAGACTGCTACTGCTGCTGGCTTGAGAGCTGCCCAAGCCTGGGTGCTCAGGGCTATGCCGGTTCTGAGGGAAATGAGAGAAGACCACCACAGCACCAGATGAGGAAGCCTCTTACCTGGAGGGACAGGATCCTGGGTACGGCTTTGCTTATGCTTGTGCTTGTTTTTTTTCTTAGGTGGTTGGATGTGCATTAAACGACACTGCTCTGGCAGCTGCAACAGCACAAAAAGAAACAGAGGCACATTAGGACAGGGAGTATCACGTTGGTCTACTGCTGCAGAAGGTAATTATGAGGAAGGAGGCTGTCAAGACTTCCACAGGGAAAGCTCATAGTAGTTCACATTCTGTTGACAGCTCAGATTCCTGGGTCTTCTTTGAGTCAAAAGGGTCCAGCTATTCTGAAGCCACTAAGTGACATTATCTGCCAGGCTTGACCTTTCCAAACACAGCAAAGCTCAGGCTCTGCTATCCTCAGCACTTTCCAGTTATTCCCAGCCTATTGTAACACTATCTGCTACACTCTCAACAAATGGTAAACCTATCCTTCATGGAGTACTCCACTGGAAATCAAATAAAAATGATTCTGCTCTGTAACCAAGGAACAAAACCCACTGCCATCTGCCCAGTAATACTCTTTTCTATTACAAAGCAAAGGACTGCCATCACCTTCTGCTTGGGATCTCTATTGCCATTGTGTCAACCAAACTAGGTGAATCCTAAGGTGCTAGACTCAGTCTCTCATAGGAATTCATATGTTCCCCATGACCTTCAACTCGCACCACAACTTCACCCACGTGTGTGTATAATGTTCAGGCTTTCCAGCATGGGCAGGTTTTCTCTTCTATCAGGAGACTACAGTGTCATTTCCCATCCAAAGCAAAGATATCCTCTCCTTCACTGCAGTCCCCATACTGCTCCCATCTTTGACTTACCGGGCCTGCATGTAGACGAAAGCCTGTCAGCATTGTACCAGTGATGGGGTTGAATGAGCTCCCACAGATGGGAGGCTTCTCAATGAGAGAGCGTAGGCTGCTGTTGTCATGAGAACCTGGCAGATCTATCATCCCTGGCAGATCAGGCAGGAAGTTACTGAGCTTCTCCTTCACCTTTTTGCCACAAAACGTCTTGTAAGCATGCTCCAGGTTATAGTAGGTGATGAGGTTGGTGCTCCCTGTTAATTCAGTGGTGCCTGGTGCAAAACATAGATCATAACACATACTGTGATTAGTTTATCAGAAAACATTCAGAATAGGCCAGGTGTGGCTTGCAAAGCTCTGTTCTAAACCAAATTTCTTATGCCGCCCACTGCTTTATCTGGGTATGAAGCAATGCAACCCCCCCACCTTTATCTGGAACTACCACATCATTCTGAACCCTCTTGGTTCCCACTCATTTAAGTGTGCAGTACTCTTCCAAGGAAAGGAACACATATGTTGCAAAAAAAAACACACAACCCCAAAAAACAACAACCCTAGGTGTGATAAATTTTATCAAAAAAAGAAGAAGATTGGATTTATACCCTGCCCCTCACTCAGAGTCTCAGAGTGGCTTACAAGCTCCTTTCCCTTCCCTTCCCCACCACAAACACCCTGGGAGGCAGGTGGGGCCAAGAGAGCTCTTTGGAGGACTGCCCTTGAGAGCTCTGAGAGAACTTGTGACTGACCCAAGGTGCAGGTAGAGGAGTGGGGAATCAAACCCGGCTCCCCCAGATTAGAAGAAGAAGAAGAGACTGGATGTATTCCCCGCCCTTCACTACCCCCAAAGGAGTCTCAGAGCGGCTTCCAAGCGCCTTTCCCTCCCCCTCCCCACCAGAGAGACACCCCGTGAGTGAGGCGGGCGGGGCCGAGAGAGCCCTTGACGGAGGCGGCCCTTTCCCCCCCAGAGCGACGCCTTGCCCAAGGCCACCCGGCCCGCTGCGAGTGGAGGGGGGGAGGGGATCGAGCCCCCCGGCTCCCCCCCCCGAGGGCCCGCGCGCTGGACCACCGCACCGACCCGGCCCTCCCCCTGCTGTCACAGCGAAGGGACAC